ATATGAGTTGATTATAATTATAAATCTAATAAATCTGTACTTTCATAATAAAACACATTAGCTTGATTGATAATAAGGTGATGTGGTTTAGTGCAATTGGTTTACATGAACCACAAGTAATGTTTGTACCGTATATTTACTATCATACAAATTAATCACTATTTTTTAAAGTACTCGTCATACTTTATTATCAATTATATATAGTATTGTCATAATATTGATAATAAAGATCAAAAGGTATATAATAAGAGAAATGTGTTGTCTTTTATAAATTAATATTAATTTAATTATTTACTGTAAATAAAACATATAATACTACTAGTTTATAATCTTAGTTAAAACAATAAAAACCGGAAAAGTTTATTTTAAAATTCAATTCAATGGATAGCAATGTATCGGTTGAGGATCGACTAAAAGTGTATGAATTATGTAAAACACATTTAGGCGGCCATTGGAGTGATGTTAGTGCCGACCAACTGGTCATCAAACCCACGACGTAAGTCTCATATAAACTATAAACTATACTGGTTCATTTTATAATTGCAAATAAATTAGGGGTGGTTTTGCGAATAAACTTTTTTGTTGTTATTTAACTCATGTTGAAACAAAGCCGAAGAAACTATTGATCAGATATATGAGCGATGATGTATGGAGAACAGAGGTATGGGATATAACTCAACAAACGGCTATCAATATAATAATGTCCGAAATTAATATATCGCCAAAAATATACACTATGTTTGAAAATGGGTTCATCAGTGAGTATATTGATGTAAGAATTATATTTATTTATAATGAATAGAATATTGTGTTATAATTATTATATATTTCATATGAAGTGTCGTTATTTCAATGCCGACGACGACCTCAACCCTATTGCCGTCAAACTGTTGGCCCAAAAGGTGGCAAAAATTCACTCAAAATACATACCGATTGCCAGAGACGGCACACAAAAGACAATGAAAATAGTTTTCGAGGACTGGTTTGATAGCCACCGGATTGAGTCCTACAGACAGGGAGTCATACGTAAAGAGATAGAGAAACAAAAGTGTGAAACACTTATGGAAATGGATTTCGTGGCTGAGATGGCGTGGGTTAGGAAAGCCGTCGTCCACCTCAAGAGTCCGGAAGTGTTTTCCCACAACGACCTCAACCGCCGCAATATACTCGTCCGCAATGGAGATAATGACCACAATTTGGATGTCTTTATCATTGACTTTGATTGGAGTAGTTATATGTATAGGGGTTTAGATATCGGCGACTAT